AACTTCTTAGGAACACTATAGGACCGAAATCTATTACTTTTAAGAAGCTAGAAATGAAATCACCTTCAAGGAATTTCCAAGACCGAAAACCCAATGTCCAAAACCCATTAGGGCCGAAAACCCAACCTTATGGGACCGAAATCCCTTCTATAAGGTCCATTAGGACCAAAATCACTCTTTTGTGAGTGATTTAGGATTATTTCGGTCGTGTTGGACAGCACACACCTTCTTATGACCGCAAACCCCTTCCTATGGCAGTAAACCCATAAAGTAATTCACTAAAAAGTAGTTCCAGGTAGAAGTTTTCTGTTAGATTTGTTGTACATCAAAGATTTACATAAGAAAGGGGATTTAGCTTTACACAAATTTATCCAGCGAACAACTGTGCAACACACTCTATTACCTTTCAAATAACCATGCACAACACTAAATTACCTACCAAATATCCATACTTATTCCTACCATTTAACCCACGTCCAGAAAGCATTTCCTTCATCCTTTTCCTTCAAAATCTCTAAACTCCCTTCATCTCCATATTCCATAAGAACTTCTCTCAAAAACAATTTGGTTCTCCCCAAAGATCTTCATCGTCTAAGTGGTCCTTAGATTTTTCGTAAGTAATTTTGACAACTCCTAGTGTTTTCACACATTATTGCGCTAGTTTCATATCATTTACACACAAATCTTCGTGTGTTAGAACCACTAGGATACTAGCATCCAGGAAGCTCCTCAAGTTCATCCTCTTCATCCTAGGCTCGACATCATCTTCATCATCTTTCCAACAACCCAAAAAATCACCAAGGTGAGTTCATACCCCCACATTTTAGAGCTTTTTCATGTTTTGGGGGGGGGGGGGGGATACAAGTAAAACTTTGTTTATCCCATAAATAATTTCATGTTTACATCTTTATGGTAAAGGTAAAATATTATTTGCATAAATCATGGTTTATACTAGTTTTTGGTATAAATATTTGTGACATACATGTTGTTAGAAATAAACATAATCTATGATATAAAACCATAAGAAAATTTATGATTATAAAATTTCATGGTTTTTGAAAACTTTTACTAAAAGATAGCTTTTCTAGCAAAAGTGGTTACATTATAGGCACTTACTAACTTAGTGGGTTTTAAACCAAAAATATCATGTTTTGATTTCGTATTTACATACTAGACAAAAATACACTTTCATATTTATATAAAAGATTATATAAATAGTTTCAAAGATGTACTTATTTCAATCTACAAGAAAAAGGGAGTAATAGTTCACGTAAATCTGTTAATGATCTTGTGAGACGTATCTTAACCGTACCTACCTAGCGTACACCTTAAGTCTTGCATTATAACCAGAGTCTCCTTGAAAGAGAGCGAGACCGTTGTGTATAGATCTATACGGGATTGACAACCCCACACATTAGTTGTTCACTACAGTTAGACCGGCAAGTCTAGGGTGACAAATGTCTTACCAACTCCGACGCCTGATAAACACCGTGATCAAGCATAACAGTCACATTAGCATGGTTATAATAACTCACATAGAGATTAGCGAAACTATCTCGGTTTACGGGAAGCTTACACTTCATTAGTTTTTCTAAAAAGATATAATTATATGCTATTGTTCAATACAAAAACACACATACATTTTTGGTCTTAGAGTTTAAGACTATAGTTTTCATACATCATAAAATATTGGATTTTCTGGGAACATACATATTACGATTACAAGGAATGTATATAAAGTAAATACATACGTCTATAGTTCATACATAAGAAAATATTGGATTTTCTGGAAACATACATTATCATTTTACAAGGAAAAGTATACAAAGGAAATACATACATCTACAGTTCATATATATGAAAATATTGGATTTTCTGGAAACATACATTATCATTTTACAAGGAAAAGATACAAAGGAAATACATACATCTACAGTTCATACATAAGAAAATATTGGATTTTCTAAAAACATACATTATTATTTTACAACAAAAAAATACATACATTTTTGGTCTTGGGTCTAAGACTTACAACTTGTTTTCAAAGAAAATATCGGGTTTTCTAGAGGTATACAAAAATCAGTTTCTCGAACACATTACAAACCCTTTTCATACAAAATGTTTACGAACTCACCAACGTAATCGTTGACACTTTTCAAAATCACTTGTATTCTCAGGAAACCAGTAGACAGATATTCAACCCTTCTTGAGGGTCGGCATCATCGTTTCACGATTTCTACTTTTCAGTTATTTGTATTTAACTTCTAAACAAGTAAAGTGTTGTAAACGATGTAAACTTGTATTATCAATGTATGAATGTTTGGGTTGCTATGTTTCATTACTATTTAATTGTTATGATATTATACATGAAGTTACTATGTCCGCCCCCAGACGTTTCCGTTTTTCTGGTTTAGGGTGTGACAAAGACGAATGTATGATTATACACATCATTCTGGGATTATGTTGAGAGATGTTTTTGGATAATATGATTTATGACAATGTTTTTGGAAACAATGATTTTGTATGATTTATGGATTATTAAATGGTTTTAAAAATGAAAATTTTTACTATGATTCTTGGGTCGTTACACAACACAAGAAGCTAAGAAAGAATTATTAGCTTTAGGTTCTACAATGTAGATAATAAAATGGATGTTTTTGGTGTAAAGTGAGAAAACGATATTAATTATCGCAAGGGGACTTGAAACCTTTATGTGTGTTTATAGGTAAATGTGGTCCGCGACATTTGGCTTCAGTAAAACAAACAACACATTATACTGCAATGTTTTTTTTCCTTTAACTGTGATCATAAAATACTTATAGTTGTATGTTTTCTTTTCTCAAATAATGACCATAAATTACTTAATAGTCACATGTTTTTCCCTTTACCATTAGTATTGTTACTTTTCGGACACACATAAACAATTAAAATTTGACTATAAAATACTAACAATCATATGTTTTTTTTTGTTTTACCGTGATCATTGTAAACTTGTAGAGATACATATAAATACATAAACTACCAACACACATTACCTATAGTCACTATTTTAGTTTCTTTTACTATATGACTATAAATACCTCCCATATGTCACAAAAAATATGTTATGTGGCAAATATGTATAAGCTTTTAACCACATCACATTCATGTGGCTAATTCAAGTCTATGATTTAGACAAATAAATAATTGTTTTATGTGGTCATTATCTACCTATTGTCTCGTATAATAACAATGACAACACATTTCAAAAATCAAACAAAAACCATGGCAGTTGGTCATATTTGACAACGCTATTTTACCATGGCTTGTAATTGTCACATTTTTTTTTCCAAAATGTGGCAAATGTTTACGAAAAAAATATATAATCACTCACATATGTTGGAAATAAATGTAGCTAAGACTAGGTGAGATTTTCACTAGTGAACTTTAGCCACTCAAATAACCAAAAGTGTGGCAGGGCTATTTCGGAAAAAGTATAATCATAAGTCATTTTTGTATTAGTGAAATCGAAACCGTATTGTAAAATTTTCGTAACTAGGGTTTTATCAAAGCAAATCATAGTTTTGGGAAAGTAAACTTCTATTAGAATTGATGCGTATGTGCTCACTAAAAACTATACACACAACTCACTTTATAAGAATAATAACTTAATATGAGACACATCTTTGCACTGAGATTAAATTTTTAAAGCTGCTAAAATATTGTGCATGTAATTAATAGAATGCCCTTAAACATTGTCTAGATAAGAATTATCTTTCCTCCGAACACTTCTCTTTCCTTTATCACGTGCTTTTAGTCTTCTTCCTCATAAGCTCAGCCACCCTCTCTCTCTAACATTAAACCGTTATCGTCAGGTTAAAAGCATCCTCAAAATCATTAAAATAAAAAAAAGGTAAGTCCATCCAGTTTATGGAATTACTAATATGTGGATTTCCTTTACATTTGATAAGTACACCGCTCTAAACTTGATGGACGACCATTGTCAACATGCCTTGTTTTACATTGTTCATTTCACAGTTGATAATTTTACAGTTAGAGCTGGCTGATCATGGTAGGCATTGCATTTGAATTCCAACTACCCAAAAACATGTTTATGGTTTTTTAATGTTCTCAAATTGAATTTGTTTGAATCCAAAAAAGTTTGGAATATGAAGGGATCATGCCAAATTTCTAACAAAATCTACCTACGAGGCTCATTCTAGTTTATTATTAAATTTTGTGTTTTATCTCTAACTTTTAAAAATCAACTTATATAAATACATCTTTATCTTAATTATTAAAATATAATAAAATACAAAACAACCTCATCCATTAGGAACCATATTAAAAAAAAAAAAAAAAAACAATTTAGTTATTGTTTCAGAAAAAAGATGAAATAAATAAGTTTTTAAAAAGGTTTTATTATAATTGTATGAATTATATTTTTGCGTTGTAAACTAGAATTATTTAAATTTTAGTGTTGAAAAACTATTTTAAATTAAAATATAAACTTATTTTTAAAACCTACAATCGGTTAAAAACAAATAGTATTCTTATTAAAGACCGTAAACGTTTGATCCTTTTTTTCTTGCACATATTGCAGATATGATAAACTTTTTATCTCTTAAAAATCAAACAACCTAAACCATAATTACCAAGCACATAAACATTTTAATAAACTTTACATATATAAGCATTCCAGAAGAGTCTTTTTTCTATTTTTGGTACTGTTTTCTTCTTTTACCCACATACATAAATAAATTCTCAATGACTAGTTAAATGTACTTTTTATGTTGCCTTCCATAATTTAAAGGAATACCAATCATTTCTTTGATTCTATGACAATTAAATAATGACAAATTTTAATGTGGACGAAGAGCCCTCAACCCTACCAATATATGCACATATATGGCTCATTTCTTCATCAAACTCAAGTGACAAGAAACACTTTCTGTCACATTTGATAAGCTAATGTTAAAGGCTTTCTTTAAAGTTTCACAGTTTGTTGAGGGTCAGAATTAATGGCGAGAAGACTAACGCCGGATCATCCACTGGTGATTGGGAGGGTGGTCGGAGATGTAGTCGACAATTTCACTCCGAGTGTGAATATGCTTGTAATGTACAACTTATCAAACCAAGTGTACAATGGGCATGAGCTATTGCCTTCTTCTGTCACTAGTAAACCTAAGGTTGATGTTAATGGTGGTGACTTGAGATCCTTTTTTACACTGGTACAATACTCCTCCTTTACGTCTTTGTTATTTTTGTAAAGATCGTGTTAGTGGTTTTCTTGTAAGTAAATCATTTAACTTGTTAAAGTGCAAGATAAACACTAAAATGTGTCGGACTAAACAAATTTAAGCAACTCTCCATGTTTGGTTTGTAATGAAATTACAAATACAATACTTACAACTGTTTATCCTAACATACTTAAGTGTTCTTCTAAAGAACCTAATAGTTACACACTTTAATTATTAAGGAGAAAGATAGCGTTTCAAATCAACTTATTATACATGATATTTTCCTAAAAACTCTTCGGATCGAACAAAAATAATGAATGATAATCTTAAACCCTAGAAATTTCAAACAAAAAAAGAGTTGGGATTCTGAAGAAAAATAATGAACGGTAATCTTCAAATGTTAGTTTGTAACAAAGCCACAAACTTTATGGTCATAACCGGTTGATTCAACATACACTTAACGCTGTTTATTATTAATTTTTGGTACTTTGATATCTAATAATTAGTTTACAATAAAACTATAAACATATATATTTGAACCTTTTTATCAACTAAATAAAAGAGGATCTCATTTAAGAAATATATTTGATATTTTTCAGATAATGACAGACCCAGATGTTCCTAATCCTAGCGATCCATATCTCAGGGAGCACCTGCACTGGTATTATTATATATTTATTTAAACAAGCATTTTATTATTTTGAAACTTTTTATTATGTCACATTCAAATGTCCTAAAACCCTAATGGCATCTACACACACAAAAGGTGTTACCAGTGTGTACATCAAATTAATGTTGCAAATGCCATCATGAGTTTTCTAATATGGTATTTAGTTATCATTTATTTGATACATCACACATACATGTACATGAATCCATCCCATTTTATATAAATTTACCGGCTTTTCATTTTATTTTCAAAACATTCAAGTTATGCTTGTTTCTGATTAAAGCATTTTCTTGAATGAAACAATATGTTGATTTTAGATATATAGTAAATTAGCATTACTGCTTTGAATAAACTTCTCATGACATAAATTTGCCAAAAACTTGTATTAATTATAAAAGTCATACGTGCATAAAACAATCTATATCGTTGATCATCATGAAAACTCCTTTTGCATCTTAGCTTGTTTTGGTACTGTTGGCATTGCTTACTTAAAACAAAGTGATTTTTTGGTAAAAATGTTTATTTGTCTAAGTCGTATCAATAGGGGGTTTTTAAAAAAATGTTTAACCTATAATGCTCTTCCGCAATAAGCTTATAACTTACTTAATTATTATTATTTTTTTTTTTACCTTTCGACAAATTTTGATTATACATGTTATCAAATTATCATAAAGAGAAGAGTAAAAGAGTAAATTATTATGCACGTCATTGGTATGAAAGGGGAAGGGAAAACCAGATTACGATCGATATGGTTTTTTATGGTTAATTAAATATTTGTAAACTATCACTTTTAAATAAGTTTAATTTGAAGGGAAACAAATATTAATAATTATTTATTTAAATCAATAATCTTATTTGTTTTATTTTTATCCAAACATTAAAAAAAACACTTATTACAAGAATTACAAGAATGATACCGTAATAATAAGCTAATAAACACACAATCTCACACTCTTATGTATAAACATATTATAAAGATTAGACTATTTTCAAATCATTTAATTTTCTCTATATTTTATTGTCCAGTAGTCGTTTAATCATGATTAATGATTTTTGTTAAATAGATGCCACCTACAAATCAATTTTTAACTATATATATATATATATATATATATATATATATATATATATATATATATATATATATATATATATATATATATATATATATATATATATATATATAAAAGTGACCACCGTATACATTTAGAAATTTTCATAATTTATTAACTTTTAAAGAATTAATTATATTGGCATGAGTATTTTTTAACTTATATCTTAAACGGGAAGTCTCTGAAAAATCCCAATATTTTATCTTAATTTACGAAAAAATCTCAAACTAAAATTTGCTTACCAAAAAGTCCTAATTACCAGTACAAAGGACGATTTGATTTTTTTTCCGATTTATCGGTTTCAATACTTAACCGGTTTCATTAAAGTTTTTTTTAATTTACCATAATTTACAAATAAGTCCCAAATTATGATAAAATAATGGGACTTTAATGAAATTATGGTAAATTAATGAGATTTTAATGAAACCGGGTAAGTATTGAAACCGATAAACCAGAAAAATGGTCAAATCGTCATTTTTACCGGTAATTAGGACTTTTTGGTAAACAATTTTTAGTGTTGGACTTTTTCGTAAATTATGATGAAATATTATGACTTTTTCGGAGATTTCCCTATCTTAAACCATATTTTTTTTTAATATACAATCACATAAAAAAAGTAATTAATGCTAAAACTACTTAATTTTCAACTATTTAATCACTATAATTTAAATTTTGTTTGAAATTATTGTACTTAATTTATAATTATGGCACTTTCTTAATACATTAAACTCTTTTATCATTATTTTTTATATTAGTTGTTAAATTTCAACATAATATATTTAATTTTAAATTTAAATATGTTAGGTGGATATAAACATTATCTTTTTAATACTATAATTTTAAAATTATTAACTAATCCGGTATATTTGATTTATTAATCTAAATATGGTGTTAAATGCAAAATTCAGAAAATAACAAATAAACTTAGAAATAAAATCTAAATTAAAATTTCAAACTGACAAAAAAAAAATAACAATGAAAATATCCAAATAAATAGTATTTTTTTAGTTCACAATAATAATGATAGTTAAAAATAACATAAATTTAGAAAATATATTATATTAACTTTAAACAAACAATAATATTTGAAATAATTAAAGATATAATTGAGCTGAACTACTCGTAAGCTATTCGAAATCGACTCGTTAAAAGCTCGATTTGATATCGAATTAAACGAGCTCAAACCAAGCTTGAGCCTAAATATAAGGCTCATTTATTAAATAAGCTCGAGCCGAGCTTCAATCAGTAAGCTCGCAAGCCTAAACGAGCCAACATATAATATACATTATTATTATTATTATTTTATATATTAAAATAAACAAATATTTAAGGAATTAGGGATGTAGGGTATTAGTAAACGAGTTTTTTAACGAACTTAAACTGAGTCTAAGCTTATTTAGCCTCATCATACAAACAACGAGTCGATTATCGAGCCCGAGTCGAGACTGTATAATTCCCCACGAGCTCGAGCCGAACTTGGTGCAATAAAACTCGAATCGAGCCGAGCACGAGCTTAAGCCTTTCATAACTTAAACGAACTCAAACCGAGTCTGACCAAGTTTGAGCTAGACCCGACTCGTTTACACCCTTACAAATAATAATTATGATCAAAATTGAAATGATATGACTTTAATATATGTCTATCTAATCAATCCCCAAAATAAAAGCTATTGAAATGATATATTTAAAATATACAAAATAATTACCTTTTATAATTAATTTTATAAACATAAATAACTTTAATAATATGTATTTCACAATATATTAAGATATATATATATATATATATATATATATATATATATATATATATATATATATATATATATATATATATATATATATATTAATTCATCTCCTTTCAATCTTAAATAAACCACAATGTCATTTCTATAACCATAATTTCTTAAAATATAATATATTTTTTTCTTTTAGGATTATTAAAATAATCAATATTTTTTTATATTAATTAACTAATATAATACATTTTTTTTAATTTTTTTTGTTTTTTTTCTTAGGTTAAGTTTTTTTTTCCCATTTCTGTGTTAGTTTTTTAAATGATTTGACTTTTTATTATGTTTTTTTCCTCAATTTTTCCTATTTTTGATTAGTTTCATAGTTAAAATGATTATTGTTTTTTTAAATTATTTGAATATTAGATGAAAATATTAGAGATATTTAATAGAATTACGTTTCTATATTTTTTGTTTCGTATATATTTTGAATATAAAGTAAATAAATATGTTTGATTATGTTAGTTTATAATCTCTTATAAATATATAGTTTTCTTGAACAATTTATAGGTTTATTAAGATGATATTAAATATGATACAAGTGTATAAAACTAATAAGTTATTGGATTATATATATATATATATATATATATATATATATATATATATATATATATATATATATATATATATATATATATATATATATATATATATATTATCATTAGTAGTATATCTATTTTATAATTAAATTTAATTTTCACAAATTATTTTTTTCTAAATAAATATAACTTTACATATTCTCTTTTGTTAAAATTGTCAGATTTATTAAGATTTGAAATAGAAAGTTAAAATATGAAAATATTTGGAAAAATGTATAGAAAGGATTGTTTGATATATTTTTTATTGGATTTGGTAAGAGGCTAGGTCTCACTTAATTATATTTAGACTTTTTCGTAACATAATTAAAAGTTTCCATTTAGTTATATAACATTTATTATGTCTTTTATTAATTCCGATAAGAAATTTAGTTGACATCAATAATGCTTCAATTGCTATGGAAAAAATCCCTAAGCTATGATAAGAAATAAAATTTTATAACGTTTTGTTTTGCTAATAAAAACCTAGTATTACCTAAAAGTTCATATATTTTATGTATTCTAATACTTCGTAATTTCTAAATCTAATTTTATTTCTTCCCCTTCTAAAAAATATGGTGTGAAATAGAAATGATTATTTTAATATATATATATATATATATATATATATATATATATATATATATATATATATATATATATATATATATATATATATTCTTAAAAAAATAATGTATATATTAAAATTTTAATTAGTTTTTATCTCTTCCTATACGCATACGCTTTAAGTATTCCTAAGTTCATTTATTCTTTACAAGAATAAAACGGAATGACATTCGATATGCATATGCCCTAATTCTCCAAATTTGTAATAGGGAGTAACATAACCTAGATAAGTACCAAAATGATTTCTACAACACCTAGGGTGTTCGGGAGTATTTCGTTGTTGTCCATTTTCTGTATCCATCAGAACTATAAGTGTATTGTTTTTTATGTTGTATTATTATCTTGCAGTCTCTTTTGCAATTATCATGGCTTATTCATGCAATCTTTCTATATTTAATGTTTAATTAGAGAGGGATTTTTCATGGAAAAATATTTTCTATCTTGTTATTAGAGCTAAAATTATCCTGATTATATTATCCGTGTCTCACCAAAAATATCCCGTCTCCTCCATCCAACCCTAACCAAGCTGTTTACGACTTTCTTCTATTTTCCTCTCTTCTCATTGATTTCCATCGCAGTGACTAAACTGCAGAGAAAACTTACGGTATCACCAACATAAAATAATATTCCCCTCTTATTCTTATCTTAATCGCCTTAACTATGATGCATGTATTTAACTTTTCCAAATGCGTCGCATTAATTTGGTGTTGCTGATCATCTAGAAAAATGAAAAATAATGACAAGTAGTCGTCATTTCCATATCCACATACCATTTTCCAGTTGTTTTGTATCACTTGACAGTTACTGGACATCAACCTAAAGTCATAAGCATTTTAATAATCAAAGTCATAATTTTTTATATACATGAAAGAAAAACCTCAAACCCCAAACATTTTTCATAAA